AGCATGTGTGTGGTGCCGCTCAGTCTGAGCCTGACGCTGTGTCATCACTATGCTCGTGTCTGATTGGCAGGAATCGACATCCTGGTGAACAACGCCAGCGCCATCAGTCTGACAGGAACTCTGGAGACGCCCATGAAGAAGGTCGACCTGATGCTGGGAATCAACCTGAGAGGGACTTACCTGACGTACTGAACACACACACACACACACACACACACACACACACACACTGATTTCTAGCTGCAGTTATTGATCTTAACTTACAGGTGACAGGTTACTGCCAACGAGCTTCACTTAACTTCAGTTAACAAGCCTCAATAAACGTGCAGTTGTTACCTAGCTGTGTCTGCAAGTGGCTCTTCATAAGGTGTTGATGTGTGTTGCTAACATGATTTTATTAATGAGCCGCAGTGTTTAATGTTAGTCAACAACAAGTTCCTTAGAAATAAACATGCCGCGGTATCTGAACTTTTATTAATGCGCTCAGTTAACAAGATCAGTTAATGAGCTTCAGTTAACGAACATCAGTTAATGAGCTTCAGTTAACGAACATCTGTATGTTTCAGGTCTAAGCTGGTCATCCCTCACCTGCTGAAGAGTCAAAATCCTCACATCCTGAACCTGTCGCCTCCGCTCAACCTCAACCCCGTCTGGTTCAAGAACCACACAGGTTACCATAGCAACTGACCAGCCAACATCCCATCATAGACCTGTGCAGAAATAACTCTTCTCTTTTTTGTTTTGGTGTTCAGCGTACACCATGGCGAAGTATGGCATGTCCATGTGCGTCCTGGGAATGGCTGAAGAGTTCAGAGGTCAAATTGCTGTCAACGCCCTTTGGCCTAAAACCGGTCAGTGGCTAAATGTTAGCATGCTAACAGACTCCTCAAAGACTCTTATAGTAAATTAGCATGCTAACAAACTCCTCGTAGTAAATTAGCGTGCTAACAGGCTCATAGTAAATTAGCATGCTGACAGATTCCTCATAGACTCTTATAGTAAACTAGCATGCTAACAGATGATGCTAACCCTGCTCTGACCTGTGTGTTGTTGCCGTAGCGATCCAGACAGCAGCTATGGACATGTTGGGTGGAGAGGGCATCAGTAAACAGTGTCGCACAGCTGACATCATGGCGGACGCCGCCTACGCCATCCTGTCCTGTTCAAAGGACTACACGGGTCACTTCGTAGTGGACGAGGACATCCTGAAGGAACAGGGAGTCAAAGACTTCGATCAGTACGCCGTCCTGCCAGGTGACACATGCTAACTAAGCTATGCCTTTATTGTCAGTACTAAAACGAAATTACACTGCGATGAGCCCCCTGTAATTTCCTTGTAGTACTTACACAATGACAATAAAGGCATATTCTATTCTAACGCTGACCTCGCATTTCCACTTGCTGTCATATGGTACTGACGGTGGTCTCTGATTGGTCGACAGGTCACCCCCTGCTGCCAGACTTCTTTCTGGACGAAGCACCGGAGGCGCTGGCCAAACAGATGGAGCAACACGGTAAATACTACAGACACTACAAATACTGTAAATACTACTGCCAGCGCTGCAGCCGATACTACAAATACTGTGAATACTACTGCCACGACAAATACTGTGAATACTACTGCCAGCATTGCAGCCGATACTACAAATACTGTGAATACTACTGCCAGCACTGCAGCCGATACTACAAATACTGTGAATACTACTGCCACGACAAATACTGTAAATACTACTGCCAGCACTGCAGCCGATACTACAAATACTGTGAATACTACTGCCAGCGCTGCAGCCGATACTACAAATACTGTGAATACTACTGCCACGACAAATACTGTAAATACTACTGCCAGCACTGCAGCCGATACTACAAATACTGTGAATACTACTGCCACGACAAATACTGTAAATACTACTGCCAGCACTGCAGCCGATACTACAAATACTGTGAATACTACTGCCACGACAAATACTGTGAATACTACTGCCAGCACTGCAGCCGATACTACAAATACTGTGAATACTACTGCCACGACAAATACTGTGAATACTACTGCCAGCACTGCAGCCGATACTACAAATACTGTGAATACTACTGCCACGACAAATACTGTGAATACTACTGCCAGCACTGCAGCCGATACTACAAATACTGTGAATACTACTGCCACGACAAATACTGTGAATACTACTGCCAGCACTGCAGCCGATACTACAAATACTGTGAATACTACTGCCACGACAAATACTGTGAATACTACTGCCAGCACTGCAGCCGATACTACAAATACTGTGAATACTACTGCCACGACAAATACTGTGAATACTACTGCCAGCACTGCAGCCGATACTACAAATACTGTGAATACTACTGCCACGACAAATACTGTGAATACTACTGCCAGCACTGCAGCCGATACTACAAATACTGTGAATACTACTGCCACGACAAATACTGTGAATACTACTGCCAGCACTGCAGCCGATACTACAAATACTGTGAATACTACTGCCACGACAAATACTGTGAATACTACTGCCAGCACTGCAGCCGATACTACAAATACTGTGAATACTACTGCCACGACAAATACTGTGAATACTACTGCCAGCACTGCAGCCGATACTACAAATACTGTGAATACTACTGCCACGACAAATACTGTGAATACTACTGCCAGCACTGCAGCCGATACTACAAATACTGTGAATACTACTGCCACGACAAATACTGTGAATACTACTGCCAGCACTGCAGCCGATACTACAAATACTGTGAATACTACTGCCACGACAAATACTGTGAATACTACTGCCAGCACTGCAGCCGATACTACAAATACTGTGAATACTACTGCCACGACAAATACTGTGAATACTACTGCCAGCACTGCAGCCGATACTACAAATACTGTGAATACTACTGCCACGACAAATACTGTGAATACTACTGCCAGCACTGCAGCCGATACTACAAATACTGTGAATACTACTGCCACGACAAATACTGTGAATACTACTGCCAGCACTGCAGCCGATACTACAAATACTGTGAATACTACTGCCACGACAAATACTGTGAATACTACTGCCAGCACTGCAGCCGATACTACAAATACTGTGAATACTACTGCCACGACAAATACTGTGAATACTACTGCCAGCACTGCAGCCGATACTACAAATACTGTGAATACTACTGCCACGACAAATACTGTGAATACTACTGCCAGCACTGCAGCCGATACTACAAATACTGTGAATACTACTGCCACGACAAATACTGTGAATACTACTGCCAGCACTGCAGCCGATACTACAAATACTGTGAATACTACTGCCACGACAAATACTGTGAATACTACTGCCAGCACTGCAGCCGATACTACAAATACTGTGAATACTACTGCCACGACAAATACTGTGAATACTACTGCCAGCACTGCAGCCGATACTACAAATACTGTGAATACTACTGCCACGACAAATACTGTGAATACTACTGCCAGCACTGCAGCCGATACTACAAATACTGTGAATACTACTGCCACGACAAATACTGTGAATACTACTGCCAGCACTGCAGCCGATACTACAAATACTGTGAATACTACTGCCACGACAAATACTGTGAATACTACTGCCAGCACTGCAGCCGATACTACAAATACTGTGAATACTACTGCCACGACAAATACTGTGAATACTACTGCCAGCACTGCAGCCGATACTACAAATACTGTGAATACTACTGCCACGACAAATACTGTGAATACTACTGCCAGCACTGCAGCCGATACTACAAATACTGTGAATACTACTGCCACGACAAATACTGTGAATACTACTGCCAGCACTGCAGCCGATACTACAAATACTGTGAATACTACTGCCACGACAAATACTGTGAATACTACTGCCAGCACTGCAGCCGATACTACAAATACTGTGAATACTACTGCCACGACAAATACTGTGAATACTACTGCCAGCACTGCAGCCGATACTACAAATACTGTGAATACTACTGCCACGACAAATACTGTGAATACTACTGCCAGCACTGCAGCCGATACTACAAATACTGTGAATACTACTGCCACGACAAATACTGTGAATACTACTGCCAGCACTGCAGCCGATACTACAAATACTGTGAATACTACTGCCACGACAAATACTGTGAATACTACTGCCAGCACTGCAGCCGATACTACAAATACTGTGAATACTACTGCCACGACAAATACTGTGAATACTACTGCCAGCACTGCAGCCGATACTACAAATACTGTGAATACTACTGCCACGACAAATACTGTGAATACTACTGCCAGCACTGCAGCCGATACTACAAATACTGTGAATACTACTGCCAGCACTAATGTTGTGTTTTCATACTGTTAGTGTACTGTTGCCATCAGTACTAAAACAAATTGAAACTGTTATCCGTAACTTTGAACGACCAATCACAGCATAGAATAATGTTATAAAATATATTGTATGATTTACAAAACACCTCATGAATTGACCTGGTTTTGTTTCCTTGTTGTCAGGGGCGACCCCAGCCTTCAAACCACCATCATCATCGTCAGCCACACCTCCCTCCGGTGGACCAATAGAAAGCACGTTTGATGTGATCAGAGGAATCATTAACGAAGATGTTGTCAAGTCAACGCAGGGCATTTATCAGTTTGACCTGTCAGGTAACAATCTGTCAGAAGGAGAATGTCCATATAAGGAGATCCGGTGGGCGTGTCATTAACCTGAAAGTGTTTATGTCCATATAAGGAGATCACTCGGGCGTTTGGTTCCTGGACTTGAAGAGCGGCCCTGGCAGCGCTGGTCAGGGCCAACCGCCCGTCAAAGCTGAAGTCATCATGACGATGGACTCCAATGACTTCACTAAGATGTTTGCAGGTGAGCTGTCACCACAGTAATGCTGAGAATGACACATGATGCTGTAACCGTAGCGATGGTCTCAGTGGGACCCTGCGTCATTGTTGTTTCCATGGTAACGGTTGTGTTTTCCTGCTTGTTGTTTCAGGGAAGCTGAAGCCCACGCTGGCCTTCATGGCGGGGAAACTGCGGATCAAAGGTGACATGACGCTTGCCATGAAACTGGAGAAACTCATGAGCCGCATGAACAAGGCCAAACTGTGAGACTGAAGCCCCGCCCCGGCCCCTGTCAGGCCCCGCCTCCTGTTTGAAGCTGTACATGTTGCCTTACTAATGAAAGAATAGTAATATGTGTTAATAAAATCCACCTTGATAATAAAGTGACGGCTGCGTCTTTCATCATAACGTCCTCACAAGTGCTGTACGTCAACTGTTTGGGCCGAAACACACGGGGACCAAACAAAAACATTCATGATGTTTTATGTGTGTGTGTGTGTGTGTGTGTGTGTGTGTGTGTGTGTTACAACTTGTGACACTGTGTCTGTAGATATCATCAGATAAATCATTGACAATATAATGACCAAGATGTTTTATCTCATCACACACTTTCAGAGCAACACCAGATAAAAAGTTCAGGAAATACTCATTTTCCAACAATCGTCATGTTGCTCTTTTATTATTAATTATTATTTTATTATATCGTTATATTTTAACATCTGCACCACAGTTGGAACAAATCTTCATCAGCTGTTGTAGGTCATCACTATATGGGCAGAAGAAATCATCTGCGTACATAAGATGATTTATTAAAGTGTTGCCAACCATACAGCCTGTCTTACTGTATTTAACCATGTTCACATATGAAAGACAAGCAGACTGAATGGCGTCCTGTTGAACAGGAAATGGTTCAGATACAGAGCACCTCCATCTAACCTGCACAGACTGATGATCCATGTAGGGAGCCCTCTACCATTATCACTCCTCAGGATTAATACTATCAAACAGTGACGTGTTTAAAAGCAAACTGGTCATTACTGGTCGTGATGTCACCAACCTGCTCAGGAGGATTCTCTCCTGGACGCTGCCTGAGGCTGGAGGCCTCCAGACCCCAGAGTCCAGAGGCCAGACCTCCTGCTGTCACTTTCAACATGTCATCACATTTATTATAATCAATATAACTTGAGTTAATATCAGATCATCTTCTGACCTCTGACCTCTCATATCTGGACTTTATCTCCTGCTGACGTCAAGGACCCACCCCCTCCAACCAAATCTCACTCATTAACAAACAAGCAAACAAACAGGGCAGACACAGTTTGTATCTTTCACTGATTCTTGAGAGTAGGGACAAAATATGTCCTACATAGAAAAGTTTAATTTATATCAAAAATGAAGAAATTCATCATGATTGACACACTTACAAAGTTAAATCTAAAGGAACTGTATATACCTATGTGATTTTTAGAATATACTTTTTTATCTTTTTGGGGAAAGTTTGTTTAAATGTGTGGTTAGAAGGTCCATGTTATTGCACTTGTCCTCAGCAAGAGGTCACAATATTGACCATCCCAAAAAACTTTTAAAAAGCTCTACAATTATGAAAACATATATATCAAATAAAAAAGAAGGGGTTTAAATATGAAAAACAATGCATGAAGTGAACGTCAAACAATAGTTTCCATAAAAATCTGCCTATCAAAGTTGTGTCCTCAGTTTCTGTCAACTCCGTCAGATTTTTTCATAAGACTCATTAAATCAGGAAATAGCATGGTCAGCTATATCCCTGAGGACCCCTTTTCATCTCCCTACCTGTGGTGAATGCAACACTACCACACATGCTCTGGTACGTTTTACATTTTTTGATATTTTAGACAAACAATGTCAATATTCCTATGGTCACAGCTGGACCATGTCAATACCATCTTTCTGTTAAGATACTTTTTTTAAACCACAGTGGATTGAATTTAAGCATTTTAGTGAAGTTACTGGGACAGCTAGCAACTGAGGAAAAACTAGCTAGCTGCATTGTGCAATACATGTTTTGGTGGGAAAATACATGCCCTTACGTCAACTCCGTCAGACGTCAACTCTGTCAGGTTCTATGTCTGACGGAGTTGACAAATCCTCCAATAAGCTCTTAATGTGCTAATATAATATTATTTGTGAATAAAATGTTATTTCAGGGTTTTATTTACACATAAATGTATATACATAGCATGCATTACATTATTTAACCATACACATCTGACTTGTAGAGAATTATTATTGTGTAACGTGTAACTTTCCCAGCACTTTAATATATATATATATTTATATATGTAGAGACAGAGATAGAGAGAGAGAGATGAGAAGCCAGTGTGTAGATTTTCACAACATCTGGTTATATAAACTACATACTGCACCTTGAGGATTTTACATCCATCCATCCATCAATCAGTCAATCATGTCAAGTAAAAAAAAATCTGATTCTGTTGTCTTATTCTAGTACATTTTTCATTATTTCAGTTTGTATTGTAGGAAAGCATGGCTAGACAGAAATTGTCAGTTGAGGAGCAAAGGAGAAGAAATAGAGAGTACCAGCGAAAGAGAAGAGAAAAATTAAACAGTGACCAAGAGAGCAAACATGCTATGCAAGAGAAGGAAAGACAATTTAAGATCACACCCAGTATGAAGTAGGCAGTGCAGGGCAATCACACACCCAACACACCCACCCACTCACACCTAACCACACACACACACACACACACACACACACACACACACACACACACACACACACACGCCACTTTAAAAAGAAGATGACTACTGACAAAGGGGGAAAGGTGGTGTAGGGGAGGAGGGCCCCTGGTTTCCCTTATTGTTTTTTTGATAGTTGGAAACGGTGTATGTGCAATTATTGGTGCAGATTACCATAACAATTGTGCATTTTGT